CTCACGTTCGAGCCCTGCCACCGGCCTCAGCTCTGCATGCATTCTCCCTAACTTGACATTTTTTCTGGGAGCTATTATTTTTCTCAAATTTACTATGAAGCATTTCGGCGACGTTCACTTGGAGAGGTCACCCTGAAGGGTATTTATATTTGGCTGCTGGATGGATCATAACTTCTCGGCTGAAAAGGCTACAGCTTTCTGTATTATCCTTCAACTTCTGACGTTAGCACTTCTCCTGTGTGTTGCCCAATCCCTCGTGGCCGAATTTAAGACTGCGCAGGACGTTTTTTGCCCACAAACACCCATTTCGAAGTTTCCAAACGTGTTAATCGAGTGGGATTTTGAACGCTAGCGGAGGGAAAGGGCGCGGAAGTATTACTGATATTTTCCCACCATCGAGGACTGATTGACTGCAGTGTTGCAAAGGGAGTTACACATTCTGTCGACTAAAGGGCACTAGGGTGCTTCGCCTACCGCACTGACCTAGCCCGGATGCGAATTTCTGCGCAAATTACAACATGCGTAGATGGAAATCACTTTCTGTCAAAACCAGGCCGAGGAACAGTTACATGCGCGCGCGTACAGGAAGGTGACCCATGTACGCAGAAGGCTAAGTTTGGCCTTTTTTAGCTTCTTTTCTAGTGTGTCCTTCTGGGAGTAGGCCACGACCCGAAAAGTAGACTGGATGGTCGAAACTACCAGTCAAATGTGGGCGCTGCAATTGAGTCTGGTCGTTTTGATAGCAGTTGGGATCTTAGTATTTGGCCACCCACAAAAACACACCTTGATGTCCTAGAGGAAGAGAAGGGAAGCAGGTGAACCAAAACCAGATTCATCGATTTTTCGTTGTTTTTTTCCTGTTGGTCCGAGTACCACCACCACATAGGTGGATGAAAAACAGTCCTCTTTTCGGGAAAACGCACTAATCCAACTAGACACCTCAATAACTTATTGCTTTTGTTCAAAACAATTCTTCTAATCCCCTGCACATTTTATTGCAATGTTTTTTTGCCTGTCCTGCCCACATCCTATTAAGAAGACGCCGCAGACCCGCGATTTCAACGGGTCGATCGTGTGCAGCAGTACTCCGAGAAGCGCACCCGCATCACGGCCACTCCAGATGCCTACTGTCGAACGGAAAACGATCGGCAATTTAGATGCCCTGCCAATGCCTCGCCCACCCAGTTGCCTACACTGAAGTCGGGCACTGCACCCTTTTCCAAGTCCTCCACCTGCAACTCCTTCTCTGAAGTCGACGACTTCTCTGATCTGGACGCCAACTCTCAGGTAGGCTCACGTTTACTCCTTCTGCTTATCCTTCTTAATACTATTGCTTCCTTCCTTCCTTCCTCCCTTCCATTATTCTTTCTCCTACGCTTTTATCTCCGTTTTCTTTTGCTCATTGTAGTCATCGGAGTTGCCAGGTTATCTTTCTTTTCTTGCGTTTTTTGCCTCCAATTGTCCTTTTTGTGGGATAAGTCACGCGAGCAGTACAGTCTCCCATTGCTTTCGTTTGCGCGCTCACCTTCCTTCGCCCTTAGAATCCTGAACCTCGCCTCGTAAACTGGGTATCCTACTAGAGCGTTAAACAGCTGCACACAACTTTCACTTAGGCATTTACGATATGTGTGTATGTACATGTTGAGGAGCGAGTTGTGCGGACGAGAATATCATATTTCCTCTCTAATGTTTCTGCCCTCCCCCTCCCTGTCCTTTGGAACTTTACACATCACTGTACAGATCTGCCGGACCTTAATTCTCGCAAATCGGCACCCCAACCCTAGCTCCTGTGAATGTTTGTTTTCCACGGATTAGAAGTGCATTTTGTTAACAAATTTGCGCGTTGGCGCTGGGCACTAGGATGGGTTCTGCTCCTTTTCTGTGGCCACACGCGTGTGCTGTACTATTAGGCGTACAGAGGACCCGACACATAGTTGCGACGCGTACCTCCGAGGGCTGCCCATCGCGACAGGGGAATCTGCGTGGGAGGGATCCTGTCCGGTGACACACACACACACGTGCCAGAAATGCTTTCGGCACACCTGGGTCAGCCAGGCCGCATAATCACTTCCAGTCATTCTGACTCATTATCGCCTACAGAGTAGGAGATGTAGGAGTGGAGAGGAGGAGGGATGGAACGTTGGCTGTACACACGTCATTCTTACTATAATCCGGCTCGTATCAGAGGTAGTAGATCCAGTCAACAATTACGCATACACACCCCAGTCTTCCTCGCGCACATCGCGAGAGATCCAAACCCGACTGGACTTTATGTGCTAGTTGCCACTTCTCTCTCGCTCTGTCACTACCTAGGTTGATCAAGCATCAATTAGATCGTGTTGAGGTATGGCTGTTCAGGATAGATGTCTTCCACTTATTTGCGATTGGAACGGCATTCACCCTGACTGATTTGACCAGCTCCGAGCATCCGACCCATTCCATCACGAGTGATCATTTCCCCTTGCAATCGGTTGACAGCGAGGTTGGGTTAGATGAGAGGTTCACTCAACATAAGCCCCTACTTTGTCCACCCTAGTCGTCTATTGAGGTCCAAGTTCTAAAGAGATGAAATACCGTCCTATTTTGCTTTTGCATTAACGCAACACCTTCTTCTTCTTCTTCTTCTTCTTCTTCTCCTTCTTCTTCTTCTTCTTC